GTGCGGTATAATTTTAAATTATCAATATGTATTCCCAATGGGTTCAAGAGACGTCATATTATACCTAGAATCAGCAAACACAATGGAAGAAAGTTAGTGCTAATTTGTATCGTTAGAATAACTTTTACAAGAACGCAGAACGAATGTAGCACGGAGAGGCTTTACAAATGCAGCTGCAAAATGGTTTCCATTGAAATAACTACACACATTAGACCTACAGTCGGGGTTATAACCTTTCGATTAAAGTTAGAAAAGGCTTGAAGTCTCTGACGTGAAATCGAGAGCGAGACTTTTCTTTTGTTTCAAATAATTTTATGTGAATGAGCTATACTTTTACCAGCAATTTCATGTATTTTATCGTCTAAAAGTCTTTTCGAACCACATTATCGTCTAAATGTGACGATTTAGTTTCGTTTTTCTCAGAATAAATATGATTTTAACGTGTTCTTTGTCCCTTTTGAATGGAACCACGAGACAATGGATGTACGTGACATTCGTTCAAAGAATAAATTGTATAGAATTAATCCTAGAAGACACATAATCTCAGATACGGTGAGTTCTTTATTCCATTGTAAATACAATACAGCATTTTATTTTATGGCTTTAACATCGTGGTCATATTTAATTTGATGTGTAAGGACAGAAAAAATTTTTCATTCTGACTATTGTATATTATTTTAGACTTTATCTATCCTAAGAGGATCCAGCTAACCTTTAAAATGTTTTATTCTTGACCAAATTGTAGTTCAAAACATGAGAGATTTCAAAATTATTCTTAATTGGGACTGTATTTACTAAATATTCTACCAAAAGTGTTACGTGATAAAAATTAAATAATTAAAACAAAAACTACATACCTCATTGGTGGGCAGTGTCCAGTCTAACTCCAAGGCCTGGGCATACACTCTTGTTGATGCACTTATCACTGTTTTTTCACCGCACTTAAACCATTTTTTAACATTAAAATAAAATTTCTTCCAACCAAACCAAAATAATAATATAACAGTTTTTATCTTCAAAACATTGTTTGAGTGCACCAATAAACCGAAAAAGCGCCTCCGAGAAGCGAACCGAGTCGACAACGTCTTTCAACTAACGAAAATTCAATCTACCTTCCGTTATTTTATAGGTAATAATCCAACATCAAAATACCCACATAAACGAGTTGGAACCATTTTTAATTTATCTGAATATTTTTGACTACCGTCGCTTTAAATCACTTCCATTGTGATAAGTACGAGTATATTACAGTGAGATAAATCTGAAGTCTAGTGTGACGAAACGTTACAGCGCGTTGATAAATGATTATGTCCCTAATGTACTGTTAAAGGACGATAACGTGTCAAAAATTGGTACCATAAGATCAAAAGGTACAAAGATGGGGTCTAAGTATTGATACAACATTAATAGAATTAGCAAGTAAAGCTTTAGCTGTGTGTGAAGGTGATTAGGATTACAATTTATTATGGTATTTTCCCCCGGAAAAAAATAGGGAAACCGCTTCTATAAAAAATATTTTTAGAAGTTTATCTGACATGTACTTAATAAAATATGTTTAGGTGTCTAATGCCCGTTTTCACCATCAATCCCTAATTTAAGTGACCACATATAATACGGGGCACTTAAAATTAGGGATTGATGGGGAAAACGGGCATAAGACAATCTTTTTTCACTTATTTTTATAACTCTACCAGAAAGTATATTACACTACGAGTGATTTTCTTAACTCTAAAGCTTGGTAACGAAAATATTCGGCCCGTCAACCCAAATCAAGGTAACGTAACGCAAGAGGCGTAAAAATGTTAATGAAAAACGATTTCCAGTTTTGTGCCCCGACGACTACCTGAAAGTATGTTTGCTACTTTCAAGCCAATTTCAACGATTTACAAGAAGGAAAAATAATCTCAATAAAACACTTACAGACTTTTTACCCGACTGCGCCAGAAGGCGGGTTATGGTTTTACCCGACTGCGCCAGAAGGAGGGTTATGTTTTTCGAGTGTATGTGTATGTAAGTAGGTGTATGTATGTATGTATATTTCGTTGGCACGGCCTACAGCCTAAACGGCTTGACCGATTTTAGCGTGAGAGGTGTCGTTAGATTCGTCTTAATCGTGAGAGTGACACTGGCTATTATCCGCCATTTTGATTTTTTCAATTTTAAGAAAAAATCAAAATGGCGGATTTAAGGCGCCAGAACGTCTTCAAAAAAAATTTTTTTTCTCAAAACCTATTGAGTAGGGTATCAAAATAAAGGGATTTTAAGCAGCTTACAAAAAAAAACGAAACGTACAAAAAACGAAAGTTAACAATTTCGTTTTCCCATAGGTATTTGAACCCATAATCTACAGTTTACATCCGGAATATCTTACCCTAGGAAATAGTGAAATAAAAAAAAGTATTTTCATACAATCTATTTAATTTGAATTTTATTAAAAATAATAACAAAACACCAGTTAGTTTTCTACGTTACTTTACATAAATAAATACAATGCACGGTTTTTTTATTTAAATTAAAAAGGAACTGACTAGACTATAAAGGATTAAAGGATAAAAATGAAAAATATTGCAATAAATTGAATACAAAAAACTTGTTCATATTTAAATCTAATTAATAAATCTGCTTACCTATATTAAATATTTATACATCAACATCATTTTATACAACATTCGTAATTCTTTCGCGTTCTGGTCTGTTATTTTATAAATCCAGACCCTGTAATTTTAGTGACTAAGTATAAATTACAATTACAAATGCACTTTATAACACTTTGTATTTTATTTAGTAAAGTTATATTTACCTACTTATACTTATTTATGAAATTCGGTGAACAATTTTCTACATGATTAGTCGAAACATTATTTAATAAAATATTTATTACACAGATTTGATAAAAGTTAATTCAATTACTAACATTTTACAATAGTTACTTAGGTACCTTCCAAATATTTTTACAAACTTTATTTTATAACTAACATGTTTGACGCTCAGACCAACAAAAATATTATGCTTTTTTTATGAATAAAATAACAATAATGCATATTCAGAGCTTTATTAATATTTTGTCGGCTTGAGTAGGTAGTACCTGCCTTCTAGGTACTAAAATTACTCTAAAGAAGGCACAACTTCTCTAAAAACACTTTTTTCTCAAAAACGTCAAACTCACAAGTTTCTATTGATATTGAAATCTATGATTTCACTATGTTTGACAGGTGATAAAAATAATTACGATTGGGGTCATTACCCAAATAAAATTAAAATATGGCTTGGTAGGGGGACCCGTTTTGCATATTTTTAGTACTAAGTAGCATAATAAATACGATTCGATGAGTGTATTAAAATTAAAGTTTTATATGCACCAGATACACTATACACATGAATCGTAGATTTACAACTTACTTAAGTCAGCTTTAAAAATCTAACTCACATGGAAAAACTTTACAAATAAGGTAGATACATAATGTAACATTATAAATGCAGAGTAAATAATAAACAAATAATAATAAAAGCATAACTACACTCTCAATAAAAAAAATCTAAATGTCGAATGCCTAAGGATATTTTTTATGAAGACTATTATACGTACGCCAGAACGTCACAAGTGTTAGTTATTTATATTATGTGTTAACTTATTATTTACATTTCAATTACAATAAATGTAAGACTTTACTTACTTCGTTATTTGGTCTTTTCCTACAAATGCGTGAAAGTTAAAAATAAAATAAGAGAGCTTCTAAAAGCAATGTTTTATAAAATTAAAGTTAAAAGTAAGAGAAAACTTTCATCAACACGAATATTATCATCTTCATTTTCCTTTTAGCATAATAAAGTATGACATACTTCTTACCGAAATTCTTCAGACCACTTTCAACGAAACTAACTCGAAAATTAAATTACCCTAACAAGTTAATAGTCCTGTCCTGAACTTTGCTCTACCTCGGCATAGTATGATAATGGAGTTAATCCAATAATTTATTAGCGATGTTATAAGCAACTATCATAAATTAGGTAATCATAGTTGAATTAGAGGAATTTTAAGAAAATATTTATCAAAGAATCTTTGTCGACGCTGGACTAACAAAAAATAGGAACAATTACTCTTACCGAAATTGTATGGCACGTAATGGTCTTGAAACAACATTATTCTGCGGGTACGAAACTGACGGCGACCGAGCGATGGCGACGCGACGTGACGGCGACGCGACTTGACGGCGGAGCAGCGGCTATGAGGAGTAGTATTGCGATTTGCGATGGCCTCCGCCACCGCCTGTTTCGTGCGCGTCACCATTTATACTGTCCATTTTGTTGTATGCATCGCTGTCGCTCGGCCGGCACCAGTTTCGTGCCCGCAGAGTAACAAACTGGTGTTTATGCCTCAATTGTAATCCTCCTTGGAACATTGTAGGCCTGCTCTGCAGAGATGACATTGTAGGCAGAGATGGGACCCATTACCGACCTTATAGAAAGCGTACAGCCAGGTCTGCCAATCAATTTTATTGTTCCTGAGAGCCATATGAGTATGACCTACATTTGGTAGCAGAGCTGAATTTTGTCTTTGTTTTATCCTGATATAATATTATCCAAGGGCGAAGACTATGTTAGGGTGGACGCTAACCAATAATCCAAAGCACTGTTTCGTAACTAACTGCAGTCCTATACAACAGTCCAACTGGTATAATAGGAAAATTTGTGACCGAATGTACTCCACGAAACATACACTAAATCTCATGGCGCGTGATTATCTGAAGAACAACATCAATGTCCAATGAAACTTCTTCCACGCGTCACTAAATCTCGGGCATGCTATAGAGTCCAAATTAGCATAACATAATCTTATGACACCCGGTGACTTGAGGCACCAACATCAATGTCCAATACCATCACTCTTCACCATTTCACGTATGCATTAGAGTCCAAATTAGCACGACTTGAACGAGCTGTCCAGAGGAAGAAAGAAGCTCTCAGTGCTGCTCTCTTTCCCAAGACTCGTCTCCACCAGTTTAGCCCCGTTTTCGTTCTCGCAGCACCTCGGGAAGGGTGCTGTGCTCTCTGCCTTGAACATCAGCCGTTTGCTGTAGTTCTCTTTGGACCGCTCCTGATTGTTGTTGGCAGGGCAGCGGCCCGAACACCGCCCTCAGAGTTTTGAAGAACCGTTGTTGAGGAGGCGGATGCTGCTCTCGCGGCCAACGCTTGTTCTGTAATTGAAATTGTGGTGAGAGTCTGACAGCACATGGATATAAGGTCCCAAGGCTAACTGCCCGTATTCACAAACATTATTATGAGGTCTCACACACACGAACACACACAAAAATCACAGAGCTCTATTGAACACTGTGTGTTCGATTTGCTGCTTCACTTAAGCAAGTATTGTTTGTGAATACGGGCGTTAATCACTGCCCGGCGTTTTGGGTCTTTACTCGGCCAATGGGTCGGTGACCATTGAATAAAACCTTGACCGTGTCCCTGTGTAAAATTTGCATAGCCATGTATTGGAAGAAGGTCCTTAAAGTTAACCTTAATAGTAACTGATAATGATATGAAATCTTTCATGACGTTATTCCTATTAGTCAAAATATTATATTTCAACTAATTTACAAGAGAGAATCTGTTTGAATATTTATGAATAGAATTCTCAGTGTCATTTCCTAGTAAGTACCTAGACGGGGTAGACGTAGTCTCTGGTTTTCAATTCCAGTGGATTAATTCCTCGATTCAAATCACTGGAATACAAACTAACATCAAAATACAAAGGCAAAATAGACAGCTCCAAACTAATGAACACATTACATTATTTCTTTATTATTTTCGGACAATCAGACTATATAATTTATGAAGCTATCCGCCATCATACATCATGTCTCGACTGGACATACAGCTTAACGTGCCCGCCGAAGCGCGAAATCGTTAAATCCATTAGTGCCAATAAAAACGGAAAACAAAAGAGTGTCGGGATTTTTGAAAGTCACCCCTAAAATAATTATTTTGTAACAATGGAGAAATATTATGTAATACAGCTTCAGCATGGCCATTTTGGCCAGGACTTGACAGGTCACATGCTGCGATGATTAAAACCCCGGATTTATTTTCATTTGGGAAAGGGTATGATGGATTTATAACCGACTCTGACGCCGTTTAAATTGAAATTTCCGTTTTTGCCCATTAAATGTACGTCTTTATCCGTGTAATTAAAAAAAAACGGTTCGGTTTTTTAAACAACATGCTTGTTTTTATACCCATTTTGCCAGCGTGGGAAGGGTAGGCGAGGTTTTCGGCTACTGAGACTGCAATTAACTGGGATCAGGGTCCCAGTCGCTGGATCCATAAAAATTTAGTATTTTTCTTCCAGCGACTAGGACCACTTATAGATAACAAAAACACATATTATTCAAGCCAAAATCGGTACAGTGCTAAAATTTATGAGTGGTCTCAGTCACAGGAAGAAAATTGTTTAATTTATACGGATTCAGCGATTGGGAGCGCGGTCCTAGTTAATTGCGGTCCCAGTCGCTGGAAACCTCGATAGGCCATTTGCCTCTGGCACATTGGAGAGAGTTTTGCTCCTGTAGTCCAAACTAAACAATTTCTTGATGATGATATAGCATGTAGATACTCACGTCCTCGGAACCATACTGATGTTAGTTTTTCTACTTGAATGCAATCTTCTAGAAGTTGAGAGTGACAAAGATCCTCGCGTGGCATGCGAAGAACCTCCACGGCAGAATAGGTACCTGAAACAAACAGATAGTTAGCAAAAAGAAATTAATCAGCAGAATTAGAGGCGAAATTGCCATAACAAATTAAAATGTTCTTGTAAGTAGACTGGTTAAGATTAGGGATTTTATGGATATGCAGTTTCGGTTATGGATACGGTTACGGATATGGGAATAATATTATACCGGTTTCGGTTACGGTTACGGATAGTTTTTTATTTCAAATATCCGAAAGTTTCGGTTACGGTTACGGATTTCTGTGCTTTAGAATGCAATTTGCAATAGTTGTCCAACACGGTTCATTCATGGCCATAAACAGTAAAAATTGATACTAGATGACATTATAAAGGTAAATCAGGCTGTTATGCCTTTACATATAATGCTATACAAAAAACAATTTAAACTGCCTACCTACATCCGAAACTATCCGAAACTTTTGAATCGGTTACGGTTATATTATTTTATTCCGGATATCCGAAAGTTTCGGTTACGGTTACCATAACATCCCTGGTTAAGATAACAGCGGCCATCTAATTGATAGCAATTTCCTAATTAAATTCCTTCAACATTAATGTCATCAGTGACTTCCCGGGCCCGTTTGCAAGTTACTTATGATTAAGGCTTTTCGAAGTAGCATTCGAAGGTAGGCAGGTAACTTGAAAGTTAGATGTTTACTGGAAGTTATTAAAAGCTTTGATACTCGTGGCTTTTGAAGGATTGCGATTTTCACTCATTCAATTTAGCTACATTTAAACACACGCAAGAAAATCCAAATTGAATTATTTTTAATCACAAGGAACTCTTGCAAGCGTCTCTGTTATAGTTCTTGCAACTGACCAAGGTGAGCGAGCTTTACTTGTGTCTGTGTAAGTGTACAAAGTGTACATGCACATAACTATAGTGAAATATCTATCAAAACGATGCCCACACAGTCATGACCACACATGTAAAACTCACTCGCCTTCGTGAATTGCAACAACTATTGAATTGCGTTTTTCTGGAATTGTATATATTTACAATTCCAGAATAAGGTTTTCTGACGCTTATTTTAAATTCAAATGGATTCCTTTGAAACATCAGCGTTACCTGAAACCACTCGGAAATCCAATCACCAATCTAACTTCTTTCCCTTTTTAGTTTTTCAACGATCCAAAATACACACTTGATCACTACATAGCGGCACAACCCAGGAACATTGATTAAAAACCAAAAGTTTTCTACTTTACCACGCTGGCATAGTAAAGGTAAAAAAAACTCTCAACGTCAGAATTTTAAATTAAAGAAGATGAATCTGGCTGTAAATCAGTACTAATAAAAGTAGGGCCGTAGCTACTTCAGGTTATAAGCCTTTGCTGAAATTCAAACAACCTTTTTTGTGTATGTTTTCAGCTGCTTCAATATGAAACTTTTGTAAATGTGTACACAGTTTCACTCTGCTACCATTATATTTATCAAATTCATATTATTCGTTAGGTATGTACCAAAGTAACTAGGGCAAAGTAAATTTTGGATGTAGTCACTTTTAATTGGGGAACTTTTATTTCCAACAGTTGTCTCATTATTATGTTACAGACATAAAATTATACTGATAAAACTAAGTATTCAATACCTGCTGTGTTATCATCATCACTCATCTCTATATTTTATTTCGGGGAATTCCCTGAAATACGTACGAACGTGGAATTATGTTTTCCTGGATTCTTATTTATTACACGGCTGATGTATAGATCAACAAGAGTTCATCTGTAAGAACAAAGTGTTTGACCAAACTTCTACAGATAGCCCAATCAGAATCAGCTAACATAAACAGCAAATACAAAGTCAATACCGGAAAACCCCGAAATATTTTTATCGTAACCACAAGCTGTATCCCCGCTAACGTAACGTGTAAACAGAATTTCGCCGAACAGACCGAGCAATAAAATATTCTTGTTATGTGATGGTCGGCCGTAAAAATCCGTGATTTATACCAAACATTAAAGGTAAACATGTAACAATTACTGCTCACAAGATGAAACCGATTTATAACTTTATCTCAACGAGGTAAAACTCATTATTGAAGCAGGTAAATTCGGTTGACTACTCAAGCCTGGAAGTCTATCTAACATTTGGGACAGAATAATGTTTGTCGATGAAACGATGTGTTGAGGTTTTGTAGGTTTTATGGTAAATAATTTATTATTTGTTTTCTTTGGCAACTAACGAGGTTTGTGAGTAGATTTCTGGCACTAGTACAAAACGCTGAACTTTGAAAGGATTCGTAGGTGTTTAGCATGAATGATGAGTTGGAATTCTCTATACCTAAATATAATTTTCCATTTTTATAAGGCAAGTAATTGAATAGATTCGAATCATTGGCACTGCATTCAACCTCGCAATGTGGGCTAATAATCAGAATTTTCATATTACCTAATACGTATCTCTAATGGCGTTCTGAAAGTTGTCTCAAAGGTTTCCTAAAATCTCGTGTCTTCGTAACGCACGATTGTCAATTTTCTCAATTTCAAGACGACCTCTATTGCACCAGAATAGTCCCCTCCTGACCTACCCCTTTTCATGCCTTATCTATTCTCTAGTGTCCATGCATATTCTTGTCAAAGTTGCTAAGCTGATTTACGAGCGAATCTCTAGCGGATTCGACGAGGCAACCACAATGGGATGCTACATCAGAATAGGGTATTATGGTGACTTGCTCTGAGTAGTTTGATTGTCAATGAAAAATTCAGTCTTCGTCTTAGCGTCAAAAAACTTCATTTTTAAATACCTATCTTTTGAATCTATCACCTTGAGGACTAATATACTCGTAGTATGCACATTAAAGGTACACATCAACCCCGAAAGGGATCAACACCGTATCGCCTTTCGCCGCGAAGCGACGCGTTTAAGTTACGGTGCGGATATGTGTGTATTGTAGTACGGAGTTTCATACAAATAAAACTGAGCGCCTCGAGTTTATACGGTTACGATCCGTTTCTGGGTTTACAAGTGTGTTTCGTCCTAAACCCTAAGCGGTTCTAGAAGGTCGCGGTAGAAATTGTTTTCTATTGTCTCGATTCGCGGGAACTTGAAGGGCTAATATTGTAAATGAGAGTGTCACTCTGTCTGTGCCGAAATAGCTTAACTATGCCGTCAACAGGTAGTTAATTAAACCGTCAACAGATAGTAAACTGCGAACTGATCTCTCTGTACCCAAAATTAATTTTATAATCCTTCGTACTATGCTACTAATGTAAGAAATGTGAAAGTTTGCGATGACAGATCTTAATTGTTACTTTTCGCCTAAACCATTGAACTGATTTCGGTGAAAGGCATAGAGAAAGTTTGAGATCCAGAGAAAAATATCGGTGATAATAAGCCTAAAATTTTCTGTGGATAATTTATCTTGAATGAAGCCGTAGGTAAAAGCCAGTATAATGTGTAAACATTAAACAAGTATCGGCTCCAGACTATTGATTCTGCGTAGTATCTGCTTTAATGTTTGTCTC